TTTGCCATTTATTTTTCAATCTTATTTTCATCTTTTTTTTTTAAAGCTTTTATATTAGGACCACCATATGTTAAAATCCTGGAGCTGCCACTAATTAACCCCCTTAACTTTTATAAATAGTCAATTCTCCCACTGACGCTAGATTTTAAAAAAAATTCATCTAATTTTTCGTCAATTTTGATACAGAGACAACATATGTCAATTGTATGGGGGCAAAAAGAATGAAAATTTGGATGGATGAAAAATTTTAAAATTTAATGCTAGGGGGAAAATTGGCTATTTATAAAATTTTGGGGAGTTAATCAGCTAAAATTAAAGTTCAAAGGGAAATTGACCAATTATAAAAGTTCTGAAGGGTAAGTGTTTGATTTTATTGCATAAGCTTTTCACCTATGACTCTGTCCCCCAATGTAAAGCGCTTAACCTCTGAAACCTCCTCTGCCATCGGCCTTTTTGCTCAGGCTTAAGGTCGGCGAAAGCCTAGCCCTCCCATCCTCATCCTCCTCTATCTTCCTCGTTTTTCCACCCTATATTTTCATCCCTTTCGTCTGTCTCTTCCTGTTTTTTTGCTCTTCTTCCTCTTCCCTTTTCTCCACCCTTGTTTCCCTTCTTTCTCCCCTTCTTTACTTCTCTGTCATCCCGATTTAGCCATCATCCCTTTCTCCTCCAACTCCACCACAATTTTTCCCTCTCCAAGCCACCATGGTTGGAGATTTAGTTTATCTATTTATGCTTTTAGCTTTTGTTTGTTTTCTATCTGAGCATTTTGTGTCTCAGGTTGCTCTAAGCTTGGTCTCAGTATTCCCTGAGTTTATCTCAGATCTATTTTCTTTGCCTTGTTCCTCTCCAATCATCACTCCTTACTGTGAATTCCTACCATTTACCCTTGCTACTTCGCAGAATTTAAAGTGCTTTTTGCATTATTTGGTAGGATTATGGGAGCGCTTCCAATGCAGGTAGCTTGCCTACCCCCATTTTCCATTCATCTTTTTGGTTCTTTGGCCCTTTTCTGGGTGGTGGTGATGGATCTACTGTGGTGATGCGGCTGTGTTGGTGGAGGTGGATGTCTATGGTTTTCGATTTGGTTGCTGCTATGGGCTGCTCACTTTGGGCCCTTCTCATTGTAATTTTCGTTTATAGTGTTGGGCTTTTGCTTGGTTTTTCTGGACTCTCTTTTGGAGTTGGCCTTACCTGGTATTAGCTTTCTTTTTAATGAATTTTACTTTGTTTGTCCAAAAAAAAATAAAAAATAAAAAATAAAAGTTCTGAAGAGTAATTGGTTAAAATTAAAACTCAGGTAGTAAAGGGTTTTTCTATTGACACCTCATAAATTGTTGATTACACCCCATTAAAATTTTAATACTGAATTAATAAAATGTAGAAATGAAATGACTATTTAGGCCTAAAATTTAAGACTTTGATTTCTTAACAAACCCGACAAATCCAACGTGAGATCAAACTTACACGCCAAAATATTTTTCTTGGAGCTCTTAAATTAACTTTACTCTCAGGCTTTTTTTTTTTTTTTTTTTCTCTCTAACTGTAACTGATTCGTACTTTGACACGAAACATTAAATTTGGTGCTAGGATTACCAATTACTACCATGTAAATATTAACAATAGAAAGTTTGATCGGTTAAATGTTTGCCACATCCACTGCAAAATATCTGCTCATTAGAGAAAGATAATATGTATTCATGCCAAATTTATAGGGCCGGACTTTCCCCAGGACTTTTACCCTTATATATGAATGAACATAGATATGTACTTATATCCACTACTATAGTTTTGAAGCAGAGTCACGGAAGAAGGGTTGTGGCAGTTCTGCAGGTTGCGTCGTAGAGAAATTTTTTGTTTTTGTTTTATTATGGGGTGTATTAAGACAATTTTTCTTTTAAAAAGTAAGTATGGGGTGTATTTAGTATATGGGGTTTACTTAACAATTTGTGGGATGTTAATAAAACAACCCATAGTAAATATCTTCTAAACTGCACAATTTGTGGAATGTTAATAAAACACCCAAGCACAAAAGGTGGCTCCGCCCTTATCAGATACTTTGTTTGTTGACATATTGCATCTAAATGAATATATATTTAAGCACATAATTCATTTATAGTAATTTGTTTTAGTATTTTTAGGTGATTTAAAACAATTTTGGTACATCAGATTATTATATTTAGGTGATTTAAAACAATTTTGGTACATCAAATTATTATATATTTAAGTACCTAAATTTTCCTTTATCGGGAGATTTTGGATGCGATCCCTATAACTACCAATGTTCTTTGATTGAAACCTTTGTGATTTTCAGTTTTTTATTGAAATTCCTGACATTAATGAAATGTTGTATTTCTATGTAAGTTATTATATTTTAAATTAAAAATGAAATTTGTAGTTATTTATATTAATGAGATTTTAAATAAAACCTGTAATTTATGAGATTCAAAATATCAAAAATAAATTATACTCTCTAATATATTGTATATATATACATGGGTACATTCATCAAAACGAACCAAAAAATTATTGTACCAAAACGTGGATACCTTTCAAAAACACAAAAATAAATAAATAAATAAATAAAAAATATTAGGCTTAATAACATTATTAAATTTCTTCTATTAAACTTGACATTGATACATTCTTAAATCAACGAAACATAATGCACACATATAAGTTTAAAAAATGGATTACAAAAAAGATTGAATGAATTTTATATAAAAAATGGGTACATTTTATATTAAAAAAGGGGTACATTTTACATATAACAAACTTGTATATTTAAGAACGGGTACATCTAAGATTAGAAAAAATTGAAAAATTATATGAATGGGTACATATAAGATTAAAAAATTGAAAACTTATTCTAATTTTATTTTTTATATTTTGGAAATGTTTTGAATTGAAAATTAATTAGGAGTTTAATAAGGGTGTGAGTATTAAAACACTAAATCAATTACTAATTTTTATTTTAAAAAATTATGTAACTGACATGTAATTCACTAATACATAAATACTAGGGACTTTGGTCAAAATCTAAAAGATTTGATAGCTGTCTTTTTAAAATACAATTAAACATTTGATAGCTGTCATTTTAATTTAATATTCACGAACACCTCATGAAGTTTAATTGTAACCATATACATATAAAATGACAGCTATCAAATGTTCATCCTCGGGTTTTATTTGTATAGTTTCTATTCCATGACATCATCTTACATGTACGTTAAAATTTGTCAACCTAAGACCTAATATAAAAGTACCTAAATGCTCATTTAATAATTTGGTATTTTAATTAAATATTCACAAACACCTCATGAGATTTATTAGATTTCACAAAATGCCTCCAATTTCAAAAATTACACGAACACCCATTAAGGCTTCAAAACTGTTCATCATAAGTGTGGACTAGTTGGTGGCTTTGCCACTACAGTCCACCCTTACGAATGTCGGAAAAACTCATAGAGGCATTTCAGCCTTTCCTAACCACCATCTTGGTTTATTAAAATGGCTAAATGGAAAGTCTATGGAGAGTGGCTGGTTGGATGCTTTTTGTATATTACATTGACAAAATGTCTGTACAATAACTCAACTAATCAAGCTTACATCAAAGACCAAAACCGTGATCCACTTTAAATGGGATTGACCTAGACTATTTGAGATATATATCAATATTTCTTAATATGGTTCCCATGTGATCCCATTAGAGGCACTTGTAAGTTTTCATTTAAGCCAAGTTTTGTGGGACTACGTAATTCTGGTGCAGGTTCGAATTGGGAACCAAATCTCAATTCTTCAATTGTATTATCTGGTGATAGTGGTCTATATTGCAAGATAATACACTTGGAAGCCTGATTGGATTCATTTTCTATGACAGAATTTAGGTGTTTTTCCTTCTGCTTTTCGGCACACATTCACTTGCTTTCCCCGCATATACTACAGCCGATTTAGTAAAAGGAAGAAAACAAAACTTGTTTACCAATTTTCCTGTGTAATCTACAATCATCATCAAGTAGTGCTATTTCACGTTAAGAAATAAACTTGTAACATTTTATATCTTCCACAATGAACTTAATTGCTATAATTCCAAACAACTGAGAAGTGAGTAATGTAAAATCAACAAGCCACTGCGTAAATAAAGTTTGAGGAGTTTCGGGATTTTTCATTTTAGAAAAGCATGAAGAATACTGAGACTAAAATGTTTGAGCTTAATTAAAGCAACAAAACCTTGGGAGTTTGTGGAAATCATGTACCATCAGAATGAGATTGTAGCATAGCGACAAGTTTACAAGAGTGTCTAGTGTTCTGTTGGCATGAACCGTAGCCAAAGAACAATATTTACAAGAGCCTTGGAGTGAAAGGCAAGATACAATCAAGATCAGGAAGATTTTCTTTCCCGATTTAGTACTGATTGGCCTCTTCATTAAGTCCTAATCCTAGCTGGAAACTGACACGGACATTGCCAAATCGATCGACTCTTACAAATTACATCTCTTTCTCTCCCTCTTACAAACTAATATAGCATTGATGATGATGATGATGATGATGAAATGACGTTGCTTTCGTCAATTCTATGACGTTCTCCCCTCCATCAGTCGCATTTAAGCTTTAAGTAAAAAATTCATCCATTTGCCGAAGTCTTTTTTAATTGCTCTCAAGTGTATGTTTCGCCAAGTCTTTTTTTAATGCTCATTTGCATCTTTCTTGGTAATTTACGAAGTCTTTTTTCTTTAATCAATTCTATGTTTCCAAGTCTTTTTTAATTGCTCATTTGTATCTATAAATGAAAAGTTTGGCTACTTTCTATGTACACATGCAAAGGAATTACCAATTAGAAAGCTCATAGCGCTAGCTGCTTCCGCCTCCTCTTTTGAAGATTTCCCCAACTCAAATTGTGAGTGTAGTAGTTGGACTTTGTTTTTTTTCTTTTTCGTTGCTTTTTTCACACATATGCTCGATTATTGACATAAAATATCGTTGGATAAATAGGCAGATTGAACATGGCAACTACAGTTGTTCATACAGTTCTTAACCGTAAGAACTATGATGATTGGAGTTATCAAATTGAGACCTACATGTTGGCCAAAGATCTTTTGGATGTTTTACATCAAGTACCTCCTATTACAGAAAATGAAGAAGTTAGTAAGGCTTGGAAGAAGAAGGATGCCAAGGCCTTATACGCAATCTGGAATTCTTGCGGGGATGATACTTATAGTCTTATCAAGAGAGCAACCACGGCCAAACAAGCATGGGATGCTTTGTCAGATGAATTGAAGAAGCCAAGTGAACCATCAGATGAAAATGGTACGTATATCCATGAAAATTTGAAGGAAATAAATATACAGCAATGGTTGTACCGTTGTAGGTGATTATGATTCTATATATTTTAATTTAAATGAGGAATATTTTGCAATTATTTTCACACTCATAAGCATTTGTATGAAGGGAAAAGAAAAAAAAAATTCAGAATTGAACGATAACATCTATCATCTTAACATCAAAGTTTTCATTTTCAGAAAAGAAGTCAATTCTTCATGCGTATCCACCTCCGATTGATCATGGTACTACGCCACTGTTGGCAAGGAAAAGTTGGACTGAAGGTATCCTCACAAATTCAGACTCCTATATAATTCTATTTAAAAGTAATTGATGATAAACTTTTAAGTCCAGTATGACTAGTCATTAACATCTCCAATAGATCTCGGTGATGTTAATAAGGATTGGAATCTCCCTTGTATATTTATATATTGTATATTATTTTATTACATTTCCAATTGTAGGATTATTTTGTTATATTTTTCGTAGAATTTTCCACTTGTCAAATTGTATTAAAATATTTTTATACAAGTATGGGAAATTTAGCAATTAACAAACATGGCACGCAGAACGTGAACCAACTTTCGCCGAATATGTGAAGTCTGATGATTGGGGTAATGTGATCAACTGTCTTCGCAAAAATAGCCAGGCAGGAAGTGAAACACTTCCATTTGTGCGAAGTGGTACAGTTCTTCACTACGCAATCCAGAAGAACTGCAGCGTGCGCATTATACAACAGTTGATGGAGAAAATGGAAGAGGAACACTTGGATATAACAGACGATGATGGTTTAACAGCTCTTCATCTTTTAATAAGAGATTATCCAGAAAGGTTTGAAATAGCTGAAAGCATGGTTAAAAAGAACAACCGATTTGTTACCAATTCACCTCCTTTGTTCCTGGTGCCTTTTGTGGTAGAGGCCCAAGAGAAGCCAAATGGGGAAATGATGGCTCGCTCTCTCTATTCCCTCACTCCAGCCGAAGCACTAGAAGTTCCCTATGCCGCTCGACTTATTACTCTCGGTTTTAATTTCAACAGACCTGGTACAACTTTTCCCCTATGTGATTTTTTTTTTGTTACAAAATTTTATCAGTATACTTATTGTGTTCTTTTTTCACGCTTCTATGATATGTAGATATTGCGTTGGATTTAATTCAACATTATCCAAAATTGGTCATGGCTATAGACTGCAATGGGAATATCCCCTTAGTAACATTGGCGAGTAAACGTCTTGCATTCCAAAGTGGAAGCCGCCTCAGTCTATGGGAAAATTTGATCTATTTTGGTTAGTCAATTTTCTTTTTATTTTCTCTTTATATTTTTTTTCTTTCTAAAAGATAAAACTTGATATAAGTCCAATTTTGTGAGTCACTATTAGAATTAGTCCACTTTACGTGACATTGGTCCAATGACTAAGATGACACATCATCATACTTTTATTTTTATACCAAAGTACCCCTAAGATTGTAAATAGTTATAAATATGTAAATGCACATAATCTTTAAAACACTGCAATGCCATACACAAACTTGTGTATTAGTTGCAATTTCATGCATCTGTTTGTCAATCCGTTAATTTGACCGTTAAATGATGATGTTTTAAAGATGATGTATGAGGTTGTAATTGATCTCAAACTTAAGAGTGCAAAGTTTAATTTACCCTTTTTTTAATTCTATTACATATTAATTGTACTTTATCTCCTTATATCACATGTTTTTTTAGTAAAAGCACTTCCAGCGTGTTCGAATCCCCTAGGGGATTGGTTGTAAAGTCCCCTCCCCCACCCAAAAAAACTCCTCCAGCCCAATTCAATCCAATGGGGCTCGGAGCCCAGTTGGTCATCCAGGTTGAAATTGATAGCCCTAGCCCTAGGGGCAATGACACAAGGTTGACGTCATGGGGATGTCAGCCACTATTTTTTCTATAAACACTTACCATGTTCTTCCACCTCAAATACTTTCAACCAATCTTTTATTATTATCCGAAATTAAAAATAAAATTATTTATTATTATTTTATAAAATGAAAATACTAATATTTTAATACGAATTGTCTGGGCTATTTAGTTTAAGGGTGGAGACTAGAGATGCACTTAGACACTTACTGTTCACTACGTACAGGCAGTTACTATTCACGAAAGGGATTGAGTTGCCTATAATCAAGGTGGCTATCAACGCTGGAAATGCTCTAATCCATATTAAAGCCAGAATAAAATTCTAAAGAAAGATTAACATCAAGCAACATGGTCTTCAAAAACAAATCCTAGTCATTTCGTATTTAAGAAGTTATATATGAAAAGAATAATACTTGCATTCTCCATTAAGGACATGAGCTCATTTTTTCACTTGCAAATAACATATCTTCACCGTAGAAATTTTATAATCGGAACCATTCTATTTCTTAATCTTTATTTGAAAATCATCTTTACAAAAAATCATTTAAATTGAAGATTGTTTAGTCATCCAAATATATTAAATAAATAGATGGTATATCATTGATATGTTACTTAGTACCTATACCATTAATTTATCTGATACATTTGTAAGACGCCACGATCTCCAATTTGAATGTTTTTTTGTAGGGATGATCTTCAAATAAAAATTAAAAATTAAAAATTAAAATTTTGAACAGTTTTGATTATGAAATTTCTACAATGAAAATATGTTATTTTCAAGTGTGAAAATGAGCTCATCCCCAAGAAAAAATGTAATAGATGCATGCCTAAGTAACAAATGGTTGAGGTGAAAAGAAAAAGATAATTAAGTGTGATGTTGTTGTTAATTGATTCTCTCTCATCATGGTAAAGAAAAATAATTTAACTTAATTAAGTAATACAACTTACCATTTATTCTTTCTTTAATATCTCCGTTGAATCCAGAGCTGTTTAAGAAATTTTTCTATAATCTCACCCCTTTTTTAAAGGTACTGTAGAATGCATAGCTATTTATATACACACACACAAGATATATTTACACTAAGGAGCGGGGTGAATAAATTGGTTATGAACTCACCATTTATAGAATTTGAACCTAAAACTTTTTACATACAAGCGAAAAAAAAAAAAAAAAAAAGATCACTAGATAGTAACACTAAATAACAACCGATAGCTAATTAAGAAAATCCATTGTTATATGTTTGGTTTGAGGGCTGAGTTCTTTGGAAATGTTTAACACTGCTGGAATGGTTAAAGTAATCACTCTTAAGGGTTATACGTTTGGTTTGTGACAGTGTACAATGTGCAGTAATAAACATTAAAGGCTTATTTACGACAACTACTCTTGAAACTCAAAGGCAGGTTCACTTTGCTTTAGGAAGTTTAAAATCATGTCACGTAACTCATTGAAACTCAAATTTAGTGAGACACTTTACGCCAGGCCATCAAAATCCGTTAACATATCTGTAAAAAATGTTGGCATGACATGCGTGAGACCCCACTTATCTTGAATTGTAAGCATGAGGACCAAAAAATAATAAAAGATTAGTTTTCAAAAAATGTTAGACATTTAATCTAAGGTTGGAAAGGTTGTCACTCCGACAGAGGTCTCAATGGGTGCAAATAGGTTGGGTTCCATGACACAATTCACTAAAAGAACGGGTTTGACAGGAAAATGACACAAACACAACTTAACATAAAAATATTTCTTAAACAAATATTTCATTGAATTAATGATTGGACTTGCATTCTTATCTTAATAGGTATATGCATAAAACCTCTTCCTCGTCTCAGTAATCAAATGCTCTCAAACAAAGAAGAGAATCAAGGGCCTCTCTCAGACCAAAAAGAGAATCAAGGGCATCTCATTTCCTCTGGTATTTTACATGTCTGTAATTCAATTTGATTTTTAATAGAGGTAGGCTCATTGATACAAATGTGACTCACTTTAATTAAAAAGATAGAACAAATGTGATATATAAAATATAATAAAATTAACATGTTCGTAAGAAAATATAAAAAAACAAAGCAATACACATACTATGACAAAAACCAACATAGTACGAAGAAGGACCATTTATGGTAAATAAAATGGTTTTTATTTTTGTCATCAAATTTGACTTGTAAGTTGTAATGCAGGAATGAGTTTATTCCAAGGACTTGCGACGAAACTCCCAACATGTTTGTGTTCGGGTAGGCCACATATATATATATTCATATCGTTAATTGATTTATTTTTATGATTGTTTTATCAATAATAAATTATATTTTAATATAATTGTAATTTGTATTTGTTTTTTGGTGAACCTAGGAATCAATCGTATATATAAGATGAAACTGATGCATGAGCAAGTTCAACAGTTTTTACCTCTCATGTGTAAAGCAAGTAAAGAAATTCTAACAGCGAAGAAAGGAAGTACGGGTTATTATAAAAGAAAGAAATTGGAAGAAGCACTGTTAGTGGCAGTAGAACAAGGGCATGTGGAGTATATTACTCATTTCTTTGAAGATTTCTCATATCCCGTACATTACACGAATGATAAACGCCAAAGCCTGTACCAAATTGCTGCTGAATGCCGTCACCACAAAGTTTATAATCTTATATATGCCCTCTCTCACTCCGATAGAATACAAGAAATAGTAGGGACGAAAGATAAGTTTGGCAATAATATGCTACATACGGTAGCAAGTATTACCCCATTGTCACAAATTTATCACATTCAGGGTGCAGCTTTACAAATGCAAAGAGAACTACAATGGTTCAAGGTGACTATTTATCTATCTATCTATCTATCTATATGCTTGTATTTTTGAAATATTTTTCTTATACGTTGTTTATACATATATATATATGTTTTTTTTTTTGTGGCTATAAGTTTGGTCTCATTTTCTCCTACTCCACATATTTTTGTTACTTTATTTATTCAATTTAAAAAAAAAAAAAAACAGAAATTACTCTCTTTAAATATAAAAAAAATAAAACAAAAAGAAAACATTATTATTAACTCCGTACTATACTATCATCCTATGTATTTTTAACTAATGATTTTGGGTCATGTGGTGTTTCAAACGACAAATGTGTAAGGATTTTATATGAAGAGATACGGGTTTCATAGTTACATCATAAATTATTTGTTGCAAAAAATGCAGGAGGTGGAGAGTCTTGCAAACCCCAAAGATTGTGAAGCTGTAAACAAAAAGAATATGACACCGCGAGAAGTATTTATAGAGAATCACAAAGAAATGTGGAAAGAGGCAGAAAATTCAATGAAGGAAACAGCAACTTCTTGTACAGTTGTAGGTGCTCTTATTGTCACCATAATGTTTGCTGCAGTATTCACAGTTCCTGGTGGAAATAATGGAGATACAGGTCTTCCGACATTCTTAACTAAAAAGGTATTCATAGCATTTGCATTTTCAGATGCAATCTCACTTTTTTCTTCCACAACTTCGATTATCATGTTTTTAGGGATTCTCACATCACGTTATTCTCAAGATGATTTTTACAAATCTTTGCCCACAAAAATGATGATAGGCCTTTTCACCCTACTTTTATCTATTGCCTCCATGATGATTGTCTTTTCTTGTGCCCTTTACATTATGCTTGACGGGAAACTATCAATTGTTATCGCAAGCATTTTGATTGCTAGTGTTCCAGTTACCTCCTTCATCTGGATACAATTTCCGTTACTTGTTGACATATTTATTTCTACGTATGGACCAAGAATGTTTGGTGAGAACAAAACAACGTGGTTTAGATTCCTATGTGATCTTTAGTTAGGTTTGAATTTTCTACATTTTAAGAAACATGTAAAGAGAAGTCAATGTATACGCTTTCTATTTGGCTAATTATGTTTGGGCCTTCTAGTTGGTCATTATGTATCTCTTTTGATCCTAAAAGAAAATTCCAAGTTCAATTTATATTTTTGAGTTTTGTTTTTGGGTGAATTTATATTTTGAGTTAGTTACTAAGACAAGCTCTCTATATAGGCTCAATTATTTTGTCGGTAAAATGAATTCATTGAAGCAAGCCAAAAGGAGGAAACGTACAACAATGTTTGTTTGTGTGATAATTTCATCCCGAAATAAGTTATTTATTTATTTTACACGTAGAACTTGATGATTACTTGAATCTGAAAGAACTATATCTTCCATAGTCAAAATATACAAACCTTAAATTCTTTCACCATGATCAATTATCTTATGAGTTTTAAGGTCTTGAAAATAACAATAGGTGAGGTAGAAGTGAGCAAAAGAATGTAAGGTGATAGGATTTTTACCACCTGCATAATTAGGTTAAAATCACATAAAAATACTTGCAAAAGGACAATGTTAATGTAGTATAAACTCCTCAAGTA